GGTTGCTGTGGGGAAAATAGGAGGAGGAAGGAGTATTAGGTATGTTCACTGCCTTGAGTTATTTATAAAAATAATAAAGGCGGGATAAAAAAAATTATCTAAAAAAAAACACAAAAGGGTGGAGCTTCCAATGTGACATTATGATGCATGTTTTGTCATTTTGGCTTCATTGTGGTTAGGAAAGAATATCTGCAGTTGTTCCTGTAATAATTAAGAAAGGAAATGCCTTTGTTTTGCTCTGTAGGCCAAACTATTAATTGCTATTGTGAGTGATGTCTACGTATACTTCTGTAGAGGAGAAGTCTCACAGTCTATTTTATTTCCTATGAGAGATACAAACACAAACACTCACATGTGCACGTGTGTGTGCCCACACAAAGATCCACATCCACTTGCTTACCTTCTGTCCAGGATAACTCCAGGTGTAATTGATCAACTCAATACCTCTTACTGAACATGTCACAGTGATATTTTCACCTTGTTTCAAAAGAGTTTGCACTGCACTGATAGACATGTTGATTACGTTGGTAGGAGAAGAAGAGACTGTAGAAGAACAAAAATAGTGAATAGGGAGGAAAGGTAGCTCACAGCAACTTATGGGGAAAATAGTTGCAGCAAGTTCAATCAATATGCAGCTGTCAGGGAGAAAATTATTCTCCGTTGATTTCACTGCATGGACAATTTGAAAACTTCAATATTAATAAAGCATAAGTTGTTAAGAGTGAACAATAACTGGCCCAGGGCTACAACAAGAGAGCCTAGAGCAAGAGAGCCTAAAGTGGAGTCCCTGGTGCTCTCTGAGCTTGGTTGTTTGCTTGCAGACATTTCATTACCCAACTAGGTAACATCATCAGGCTGATGGTGAAGGACTCCACAGTTCAACCCTGAGCTACCTATATTCTCCTCTATTAGAGTCTAAAGTCTTAAAACCCTGTGGAGAACAGGGCAATGCCTGGCATTGAACTTAACTACAATGGAGATGCCAAGTAAGTTTCCTAATGAAGACTGTGGCATAGCATTGGCACATCAACAAGGCCACCTGACATGACTATTCCCTCAACTTCATATTGAGAAGCAGTCAGAAAAATAAATTCAACTTAAAATAATCAGAAGAAAGACCTATATGCAAAGCAGGTTAAATATTACACAGATATGATCAGCTTCTTTCAGATGTATCAGCCCATGCCAAAGAATTCACTTTGGCAAGGAAATGATGTAGCTTCTTCTGCAACCTATTCACTTCTCAGTCATTTAATGAATGTGCTCCCACTGAAAACAGAAGTAAATTTTTGTATTTTAGTGTAGGAAGACTTTTCAAATTAAAGATGGATTTCTTTGCAAAGGAATGCAAAATAAATCGCTCAAGATTTTTAGTGGAGCAGATGTACAAGATCTATCAGTTCTACCCACCAGAATGATGGCAGGCAGCAATGAACAGAGTCTGCTCTTTTAAGTCTTTTTCAGATGAGCGCAGCCATTTTTTAAAATTACAGGGCTTGTCTTCTGTGTGGCATTCCCCCTGCACCCCTACCTACAACAATATTTTGTTTTCTCAACCTTTCACTCACAGGACCTTCTCCTTTTCTGTTCCACACACTTGCCAAAGCTATGCATGATGGTGAAAACTGGCAAATATTGATCAAAGACTCACCTTGGATGCTATAGACATAGAATGTTTCAGACTCAAACTCTTCACCATCTATTGTTGCTTTGCAGATGTAGGCCTTGTCTTCAAACTGCCCTTTAAAGCCTTGTTGTGGAAAATATGTTTCAGGGACTGGATCACTAACCCTCTTTTCATAAAGAGCCACTGTAGCATTTGGGTTTGTCACACGGCAAGGAATAATGACTTCACCATAGCCTGTGCTGAACACAAATATGTCTTCCTGGTCATTTGGTAGGAATGGCATAGAGAGATCTATGAAGAAGAAGAATGGAGAGAAGCTGATTTCATCTTGTACTGGGGAGGTATCTAATCATAAAGTCTGAAGATAGATTGATTGCTTCAAACAGCCTCCTAGATGCAATAATAAAGGATATAATTGTGTTCAGAGCCAATTCAGTATGGAATATGGTGGTGGAATGCAACAGTAATGTTTTCTCTGCAGAGACATGGCTTTGTTCCTCTCTCATTTAGATTAAAATTACCACAGTACGATAATGTGTGTTTTTGTGTTTAGCATGTATATAAGTCTACGTATGTGTGCGTGTACAGGTACATCTCCAGAGTTGGTATGGTAGGCATTAGTATTAAACAGGCTGCCAGGTTGATAGCTTTTATACACGGAGACAGGGGGATTTATCTCAAGCAAAAAACCCCCTGTATAATCCTGTATTCACACCATGGATCAGTTTAAAGCAGGAACAGGATTTTTTCCCCCTCTCAAAGTCTACATTACCATGGCTGAAGTCCGTTAGGGGCTGCTTTACAGTGGTGGCCACAGCCAAAGCCAAAAGTAAGTAGAATTACAGGTATTCAGTATATTAAAAACAAAAAAGATATTTGCATCTAGGCATTCTCCTTCTCCAACTTTTGAAGGACCTCCCCAATAGGTAGATGGTAGATGTAGTGGGAAGAAGCAAATAGTATTAATATTCTAGGAAAAGGGGTGTGGCCTGGAAAAATGTGAATCTGATTGAGATGCCTGGAGAGTTTTGCATCCATAACAGAGAGTCCTTGCTGTTCTTCTAAACTTTCTATTAATTCCATAGACCCATATGTATACACACATCAAGGATAAGTTACCAGATTAGAAGTATCAAAGCTGTGCAATCACCAATACCTGGTACAAAAATGTAGATGGCTTTTTCATCCAGGTCTTGATTGTCGATACAGGAATATTCGCCTGTGTTTAAACCAGTCAAGTTCCTGAGTGTGAGGGTGTTGGTAAAAATGGTATCCCCTTTCTCTAGGACAGTGTCTAATTTGGTGTGCATGCTGTCTGTTTTCCAGAAAATCTCGTTGTGTCCTGAACATTTCAGGGTAAAATCGGTGTTCGGATTGAGGATAACTTCATGGGCACTGGGAGTAATTTCCAGGGAGCTGATTTCTTTTACACCTTTAAGAAATCATTTGGAATTAAATTAGCAAGAGACAGAACATAGAGGTTAGCAGAAGAATGCATGAAGACGAATGCAAGAACAGGGATAAAAAATAAAGCAACATATTTCTGTATAATCTAAACATCTGAATTGCTTGAAAAGCCAAAATCAGTATCCATTTAGAGATAGGAACTAGAGGCCAGCCAGTGAAGATAATTGATTAAAAATGAATTCATAGGCATATAAGAAATAAAAGGGCCTTGTTTTCCATCTAATGCCTTTTCTTTCTAGGAAGAGTCTGAGATTGGTCTTCAGCAGAACAATATATTGTGAATAATTGCATGATGTGAATATAATTCAGACATTATGTATAGAACAACTGGAAAACTCCAGCATAATAAGGATATTTTTCTTTCCTAGAACAGGGCACATTCTGGCTCATTAATCTTGACCCCCTGTTGCTGAAGTAGCCGCTGTGGCACAGCTATTCTGGATGTGATTTGTGTTGAAGAAATCTAAATAAGCTGAGGATGTGAAATGAAAATTGCCAGGAAATCCTTGGGAAATGATACAGTAGACAGCACCTTCCTGAATTGCTTCCTACGGATCCATCTTATGTCTACCACCTATTTTTTGCTCAGACTTTCCAATGTTACTAGAGAGAAATTAAGCAGGCATAACAGAAATATGTGTAATATTCCAATGATAGTGCAAACTTATGTTTACTGTTAACCGGTTCCACTGAATTCAGTGTGACTTCTCAAGTAGGTGCAAGGATTGCACATTGATCTCTTCTCACTGGGTAGTTCTGCTCATGCTTCTCATATGGCCATGGGAGCAGAAAGCAGTTTATGGCTGAAAATTGTATGTTATCTCCCATTATCACACAGTACAACAAATAGGGATATTTATATTGTAGTTTGTCCTTAGAAAGGTGGATGATTCCTCCACATATGGTCTATTTGGTATTGCTAGAGCCAAGATTTCAAAACTCACTAAGCTTCCAAAATACTCATAACTTTTGTTTATGTATTTAAGTCATTTACCACTTGCTTTTTTGCTAATAAAATGTTCAAGAAACTTACAAAATTTAAAAATAATGGGTTAGATACAAATTTGCTCTTGATAAACCAAAGAGGAATGGGATTAGAAGAGCCTCTTTACTAGGGTGGCCTAGTCCCTAGTTAACTCATAGTGACTTAAAGGACCATGCAGATTTTTTTTGCAACAATACAGATTTTTTTCTGGAGTTCTTTTTCCCCCATTATCCAGTGCAAGGTATAGCCCTGGAGGTCTCCCATCCAAGTACTAATAGGCAGGGGTGTGTGGTGTGTGTGTGTGTGAAGAGTCAAGATGGTGGCCAAATGAAGCCCTCTTGCTTTTGTATGTGTTGCAATGCATACAAAAAAGGATTGGAGTTTCAATTACACTTTCATAGACAACCTCTTGACAACCTCCTCCCCGGTGGGTATCCCTGTAACTAGGCCTGACCCAGCTTAGCTTCAGGGCCCAGACAAGATTAGCTTGGTGCTGCCGTAGTGATACTAGGAAATATGGACATTGATGAGGAGTTTTTAAAATAATTAAATTCACCTCTAAAACCCCCCTGCAACAATGAAGAGTCATGAACTCACCATCCTATAGAATTTATTTTCTTATACATGCAGTTTCCTCTCTCACATATACATTACAAATTCTCTTTGCTCATATGCACAAAAATGGGGCCGGGACTTTTTTACTAGTATATAACAACAATGTGAGCTACCTTGGTTGTAAGTTTTTAAAATTCAACCTGGCAGCTCCTAAGAGAAAGATGAAAGGCTCGGAAACTTGTCTCAGGGCTCAGCCTCTCGTTTTGCCTTTTCCTCCAGACCGTGTTGCCATACAACCACACCAAGCCAGTCTCACGCCTGCGGGTCCTCCTTCTGCCTCCAAGTCTTGTCCTATGAGGCTTATGGAGAGTAGAGTCATGATATTGGACTGCGTAAATACAGTCGACCACTAGCTGCCAGAAGAGATGCCGAAAACTCTCTTTGCTGCCATCTAATGATCCTCTGGAGTTTTGCAGTCCCAATATGCTGCATACAGGAGGAGAGGGAAAAGTACTGACAAAAATGGTGAACATAAAGTCAGTCCATAAGTGGATGGAGATGGATAGCAAACTTTAAAAAATCTAGCCACCCTATTCTCCACTGGTTGAGTGGTACATTTCAGGGAACCTCTTTTCCCCTGCAGTCCTTAGCACTGCCTGACATTGTTTTTGAAAGTTCTCTTCACCCAATTGTCCATAGCAGATTTTCAGGGATAGAGAGCAGGGGAACTGGAGGATGCTAATTGCCAGGAGCAAAAAGAATGGGAGATATCATCCAGTTTGTGAATGTCTGCTCCATAAAACTCTGAATCCAACTCAATGAAGTATTAAGATCCCCCCCTTTTTTTAAAGAAACAAACAAACACCCTAGTTGCTTTTTAAACATACTTTCCCCACATCTAAATAGACTTTGGGCTGGTCTGCAAAATATTCTCTGTAAATACAGAATTCTTACCATGTTCTTCACTGTTATTTTATTTATAAAATTACAGGATTAAAAAGTGTAATTATTGCAGAAATAAAACATGTAGAGGAAGTCAGCAATGGAACTTATTGAAGCACTGAGATTTAGGGGTGGGATTTAAGACAGCAGCTGTGGCAGTGCTCTTGGTCTTAAAGAAATTGGAAGCGTTCATGTTGATTCATTTGATGCCAAGGCCCTGCATCTTTACTTTGTGAGTTCCCAGCCTTAAGGATGTCTCTGAGACAGCTTCTCTAGTTGCCATAAATCTTTCTATTTATTTAACAAACCACTTCAGGAGACCCACACAACTTTCAGGCCACCAAGGTGATGCCAGCTCATCTAACTGCAATGCTTCTGTGGCCTGCCAGTGGCCAACTCCTCTTTCCCTTCCTTCTGTTGGGAGAGGAAAAAGGAGAAGGCTGAAAAGCTGAAAGAGTTTAAAGTCATCTGAGACATGCTCCCCGCCCCCCCAACTGCACCTAGTGAATCCTAGGGTTGTCACTGAGGGAAGAAAAATGCTCATGGGAGTTTCAGGGGACATTTTTGGTAGGGTAACATGCATCTGCTATTGCCTATACTCATCAAACACCTGCTAAAGATGAAGAAGCCACTGAGAAGGTTTCTGTTATGATCCTGATCTCACCTTTAGTAAAACAGATACTGCATATGGAAGTAATTTTAAAACCAGTTTATCAAAGGTAAAAGTGGGGATCATGTACAAACCACTTGTCAGAATCCTTTTTTGAAACAATGTTCAGATTCCTAGTGAAACAAATCGGTTTCATCAATTTAATTGGATTCAGAGAAGCAGGTTATTACTTCAGCTTATACATAAGGCTTTTTTCCCCCAGCTTTTCTCTTGAGGCACTAACCTTTCTATCCCCAGAAGCAGTGAGGACCCCTAAAGCAGTAGCCCAGCAAAATCTGCCTGTCCCATGCACGTGTATAAGTGGTTTGCACATACTTCAGTACTTCTGTCTTTGGCCTCCAATCTGGCCCCGCCCCCTTCCATTCAAGGGGTGGCTAACCAAAAGTGGTGAACAAAAATTAAGTACTTTTCATGCAAATCAATGGGACTTACATATAAAATGGGTGCTGAATTGGTTGACTATTGTTTAATATCTCAAACTTTGTAAGCCTGGGTTACATGAGTGTCTGTGTGTGTGCGTGCACACATGCACAAGGAAAGGGGCATGTTGCAGCTGAGAAGCAAATGCTATTCTTCAAAGGTTACGATGCCAAAGCAATTATATCTAGACAATAATGTCACAGAATGTGATTCAGGGGAACTTCTTGTTTCTCTATGTGAAAGATAGCCAATCGCAGTCTTTCTCTGTACAATGTGGAAGTTTTATGAGCATTTTCCATAGAAACATGTGTGCATCCATAATACGCCTAGGTGTTTGCTTACTTGTGAGAAAGAAGACCAAAAAGACTAGCATCTTCATAAAGAAAGGTCGCATCGTGGCAGTCAGTTCTGTTTCAAGCAGTAACCTATAAAAAGAAAAGCAAACTAGTGATACAGAGAAACCTGGAGAGTGTATATGCCATGGGCAAGGGTAGATTAATGAAATAAATATTAATATATTAGAGCCAAATTAATACAATGAATGAATGACAAAACTGTTCCATGAGCTGTGTCCTTCCTGTAGGGTGGTGAGCAGTAGCCGAGGCAGTAATTATCTGCTTTAATGGAGAGAAGCAATGGGCAAAGGAAATTCAAGCTAACCTTGACTTTAATTTGAATAACCAATATTGGTGTCAGTTGTTTCCGCAGTGCAAATCCTTGGGCTTGATACTGATAAAAAAATAGACTGTTACAGTACTTAACAATATTGATTTAATAGGGCCTAGAGGCTCATTGTTGTGGGAATAAGTCATAAGATCCAAGCAGCAGCCTGAAGCCATTGCTGACAATTGCGCAACTTTAGTTTTGGAAAAGTGCTGGCGCTGAATCATAGCCACAACATCCCAACGTAATGAGATATGAAGTATCTTGTGACCACTATTCATAATTTCCTGTCATCTGAGGGTCAGTGGACATGGTGGCTGAATGAGGTATGCATCTATGAAACTACTATATCTTACTTTTTTCTTTTGTGACTCATATTCTGAGTTCAGCACATCTCCTATGGATGGATCACAACCAATGCTACATATACTGGCTACATAGAGCTGTGGTCTCGAGACAAAGAGATGTTCCAAAGCATGCTCTGAAGCACTTTTTGGTCTTTGAAACAGAAGTGTGTGTATGCGCATACTCATTTCTGCAAAGTGCAAAATTAAGCAAATTATATGTCTGTGGCATATGTAAGTTCCATTTCCATTTTATAGGTGAGAAATTGAGTAGTGAGAAACTAGAGTGAGGAGCTGCCTTCTTAGGTACAGTAATAGCTGTTGTTCTTAAGGCTGAGGTCTGTATCATCTTCCAGAGAACCAGCAGCAACTTAAGAGCACCAACAGAGAAAGGCTCTGGGGGGAAAAATTGCACCATTCTAGGAACTTCTTTTGCAACTATCCTCACTTTTGAGGAGAGTAGAATAAATAACATGTGATGCCATCATTTGATACTATTGATAGCCCCTGATATTCCAGGTTTATTGCCATGCAGACTGCATCATCTGCCTCCCAGCTTACTTTTTTTTTTTTAATGGTGTGGCTTTAATTTGCATTGTGACTAAAAACATGATTCTGGGAGATTTAGGTGGACCCTCAAGCATACTTATTTTCCTTCTCAACACAGTCTCATATCCAAATCTACATATATAGGGGGTTGCAAGGTTCTATGTAGATTCTGTAAAGAAAACTACATTCCCTTCTCATTTAACCTCAGCTTCTAATGGTGATTTAAAAACTGTACAAACATAATGGAGGGTGGAAATCCTTCTACCTGAGAAAATTCCTGTTAATTCAATTTACAGTGGGGCAAAAAAGTATTTAGTCAGCCACCAATTGT